AAGATATTGTCATCTCTCTATTTAGAGAGATACACGTGGAAGAGGAGATAATTCTCCAGAGTTATATTCTCCTCTTTGTTCTTCATACGTGAGGCTTGAAGCATGAGGTGAGTTTTCTGATTTTTTGGTATTTGTTAAATTAAAAGTTAGGTTTTTGATCATTAGAAGATAACTAAGCTTAAGGAAAGCTTAAGTTATCTTATAATCAAAAGATGAAGAAGTTATAAGAAATTAAAGAAAACGGGTTTTATATGAAATTATGGAAAAGAGTTGATAAGTTGAATTTGAAGTTAAATTTGACTTGTCATCATGCTAATTAAGGAATATGAAGTGTTAGAATTGTATTTAGAACATATTGAAATTTGAGTATGATTCTTGATTTACATATGAGGGATAGGATTTTGAGGTTATGGATGGTTTTCATGGATATAAATTGGTTTAAGTAATGGTGGTTAGGTTTAATGATATGGTAGGGATTTAAATAGAAGAATTGAATGAAGAATTAATGCTTTTCGGGCTTAAAATACAATTTCTGGGTAGAGGGAACCGATACCCTATGAATGGGTATCGATTCCCCCCTCTTGAATGAAAAATTTCAGTATGTTCAGGGGGTATCGATTCCCCCTGGGGGGTATCGATTCCCCTTTAAATGAAAAATGAAATTTGGTTCTTTAATTTGGTTTAAGTTGTTAACATCAAGTTTAAGGTTTAGGCTTCTGATAGTTGTTTTGAAATGTTATATTTATGTAGATATTGAGTCTAAACAAGTTCCAGAATAATCAAAGGATTAGGATCGAATCAAAGCAAATAAGGCTAAGGTGAGTGCAATTTTAATTGTACTTATATTATTGAACGAACATTGGCTTGCGATGAGCTAGTGATGGAGTTACTATGGTAAGAAGTGACTCCTAAAATGTTATTTGATTTGTTATTCATATATGTGCATGAATACATGAAATGGGTATAGGTTATTATATATGTTATATGATATGCATAGACATAAGAGCATAAAACATAAGATATATGATATAATATACATGATTATATGCATATGTGATATATGCTATGAGACATGACCAATGTGAAATGAGATAAGCTATGTGATATGATATGAAATACATGGTTACACATACATGTGGTATGTGACATAAAAGAAAGAACAAGTGATGAGAAATGTATTCATCGTAAATGCCCATAGTATATGATACAAGAGCTATAGGTATAGTTGGCATGCCAAGAGTCGAGGGTATTGTAGTCCTTCGGGACGTAGCGGTCCTACGGGACATATATAGCAGTCCTTCGGGACGAATACTGAACAAATGTTCGGTGCCCATGAGGGAATTTATATGAGCTGTGGTGACAGCATTAGTGCACAACCTCAATGTACTCACATACCTTTGTTCTCAAAAACAATATACATGGGCAATTGAAATATAAACTAAAGTGAAAGTGATGCAAAAAGGTAAGTTTCATGTGTGCATGACTGGGTTATATATGTCATATGAAATATATACATGCATATTGAAATATAATGATCAAATGGTAAGAATGCATATTCATGAATCTACTGTTACATGTTTATTTATTGCCTCACTAAGTCTATGACTTAGCGTGTAAGTGATTTACACGTATGTACCAAGAAACGAGAAGAGTAAGAATAGAAGTAGCAAGGACAGTATTATTACTAGAAGATCAGATTAGAAGTAATCGACAAAGTAGGTATTTTGTTGTGTATAGAGTGTTGGCATGTAATAAGTCGTTAATTATGAGAACTCTGATCGAGTTTGTATTTTGTGATCTCTTTTATATAAATTAAAGTATTTTGTTTTAAACAAAGTTTTAAATTCCCGGGGTTTTTCTTTAAGAGTCAAAGTTTGAAAAGTTAAAGTGACACCTCAGACTCGTATTCGAGTTGGGTACGGGTTAGGGTGTTACATCTTTCATCAAGAATATAGATCCTAGAAAACATCATACTATCCATAGAATAACAGAATCCACCCAAATGCCTCGGAAGCGAAGGAACAAAATCCTTCCCAACAAAAGAAGCCTAACTATAATCTTAAACTCACTCCATCACAGACAAAACAATTAATCTAGATGACTTACACACTAGAAAAACTTAAAACCTCCCCTATCCTAACCCCCACTGCAAGACGAAACAGATTCATAAAAAGCCCCTGAAAAAATGTACTCCAAGACCTCAACAAAAACCACGACAGGGACCTCAAATTCGAATTGCAAAAACCTAACGCATGCCCTACAATTCTCTCGCTACCCTCAACTCAATTCTAATGACACAAACTCCTCAATAACCTTACTTTTAGGACCATCAAACTTAATACCAAGCAACTTAGCTACTGCCAGAGTCTCATCCGCTTCAACATAAGTAGCAACCCACCTATTCTTTAAATCCGAATTTGAAAAAGATATACCTGATAATTCTGAGGATAATAAATCAGACTTCTTCACCTTGGTACTCTTCAACGCTCGATCTCTTCCTCTTCTCTCAGATTTTGAGAGAACATTGCCCAGAATATCCAAAAGAGAATCGAATTTCTTCAACTTCTTTTTTTCTTCATGGACTGAACTGGCAAGAATGACTCATCTTCGAAAGCTCCCTCAAAATGCTCAATTCCAGTATTTTCCTTAATAATTGAATTACCTTTTTCAGTAGAGATGACAGGACCCAAATTAATACCAACATACTCCCCCCCTGAAGCCACCAGAATATCTCTATGTGAATCCATTAGATCTTCAGCCTGTAAGCCCAACCCTCGAGGAACCCCAATTACTAAAGAACCTACAACAAAAGCACCATCCAAAACTATATCCTCCATCTTTGAACCCCCGCCAATAAAAGGCTTAACCACATTTGATTCTACATCCTTAATCTCAACCCCATTAATATCAAATCCTTGTAACCCCACATGGTTAGAGTGATCTGAAATTTGAAAACCAACACTCTCTCTACCTTCATCTATACCACAACCGACCTCGATCGGCTTCCCAACACTAACCTTATTACAATCACCAAGACTATCACTAGAGCATACGACGTCAAAAGACCCACCACCGGACAAGGGTGACACTTTCTTATCATCTGAACTTCCCGACTCAAAAGCCTCCAACGGAACAACGTCCAAATTTGCCGACGAAACATCTTCTTTATCTGCCCCAACCTCTACCTCAGCCTTCTTATCATCAATATCTTTTTTCTTTAGAAACTCATATTTAGACAAATTCACTAATGAATGATCCACCATCCTTACTTCAAGTACTTGAACATCAAACTTCTTATTCTCCACGACTACATCTACAACTTCGTTAATCCGAGCTTCCGTTGAAGTAGAAATCAACATGTTAACTTTCTCACAATCTAAATGATGGCTAACATTTTCTCCAAAAGCCTCAAATCTACCCCACAAGCCAACTAATCTTTTCAAAGTGACTACATTCCAGCAATGCAACGGTATACCATCTATCTCTAACCATACAACTCTTTCCTTATGACAAATAGACTCTGTCCAAAGCAAAACATCCACAAAAATCTCCTTCAAGTAAGACCACTAGAGGTCTTCAAGTATGAGAAACAAATCTTCATCCTCAATGGTAAGCAGAAAAGAGTTCCCACGTAAATGTTGAACTTTAATTTCCCCTAAACCCCAGTCATGTAATCTATCAACGATGCTCCGAACACTACAAACACTAGCCATAACTCCCACCAAACATCTCCTCAACTTTCTTACTTCATCCTCATCAACATGCCCCAAAACTTCCTTTCTGGAAGCACACACTTTGCTAGCCTCCTTACTTCTAGAATTTACGTTTAAGGTTGGGCTTACAAATTTTGATTTCCATGACAACTTACTATGCACACCTTTATCCTTCTGGACCTTCAAAGAATACTTAGCAAAGCTCACTGAAATGCGACTGCCATACACCATAAGACCATTCAACCGCTCCTTAACTCTTTCAACTTCTACTTTATTGCCAACTTTAACGAAACCAAACCTAGAGCCAGCTCGACTCCTCTTCTTTGAAATGTACACACTCAGAACCTCACCACAGCGACCCATAATCTTCCATAAACCTTTCCAATGAATAGTATTTGGTAAGTTATCCACAAACAAATAAACAGTTTTCGATAGAAAACCCTGAGTACTCATATTCTGGTCATCTAAATGAAGGAACTTTTACCCAAAGATTGCTGATTTCGGATTCGTAAAGTTAGTCCAGGCCTAACTTGATCATTTACTGGGATTCAAACGTTCCTCTTCAGATAGGAGTAAAATGGCTAACGTACACGACAACTTTCCAACCCCAGTTGTGTCACAGACTAGTAACTGTGACTTTTTCACAAACACCTTGCATGCAGAAGTAGCAGTCACAACTAAACTTCCAAAAGCAAGCTAATTTAACACAATGCCCACACAAAGGAACAGAATAACTCAATACTACAGAAGTAATTACTAAAGCCAACCAAAAACCAGCAAGCAAACTGCAAACAATCTATAGAAGAAATAATAGCAGTACTAGTTTGGGTAACCTAATTTACTGCTCAAAGTGCAATCCCGCCATGAAACCCTACAATGATCCCCTCTAAAAACCCAAGCGATCCATCTAACCCTAGTAACCCCTAATCCCAAAAAACTTCACCGTCGTTTCATTTGGAATTTCTATTTCGAATAAAATCAGTGATTCATTTCAAAAATAATAATAATAATTCAACTACATATAATGTTAAGGTTTAATGTTATGTGTCCATCTTAGAATAAGTATTTTTGTATCCATCATTGATAAAAAGATTAATAGTTGAATAAATGTATTTTATTCTTTATTTATTTTCTATATCAGTACGATGAGATGAGATAAAAAAAAAGGGAAAAAAAGTCTAAAATATATACGTACAATTTTGACTAAAAAATAATATATGTGGTACGTATCTAAAACATGTGTTAGTATGAACATGAATATCACCGTATGCTGTTAACAAAATTATAATAAAATTTACAAATAAACTAAAATAAAGTTTATTGTTATATTGCTCAGATACATAAGCATGGACATTTTCAAACATTTAAGCTTTAAACTATAGCTTGCAAGTTCATCAAATACTCATTTCACATGGAAACACCAATCACCAGAGGTACCAAAGTACTAATCATCACTTTAATCACTTCCCCATCCCATGAAAATTGTGAAAACCCAGAGCTGCTCTCAGATGGTTGTAGTGCAGGCACCATAAATTCATCGACAATGTCAGGAGTAAGAAATGAGTCCGCCAGTGGTGGTAACGGCGGCAGTGAATCCACCAGAGAGGATGGTGGTGCTACAGAACTTCCACCGTTGAAGCACGCATGTAGAGATACATTACTCACCGGGCTTAGCATCCCATCGATACCATGACATCGAATGGAACCAGAGGTGCATATATTCGGGCTGATGATTATAACATTGTTGAGGACAAAACTCCTTCGGTCACCACCGTTCGCAACACCCATCATATACTCGGTTAACAAATTGGGAATGATCGAACCCATCGGGATGTACTAAAGGTGCTCGAAGATCAATGGAGAAGGGATCGAATGACGTTACAAGAATACGTAGACTTTATTTTCAGGGATTCTTGTTTTTGACAACATCCGATCGTTGGAAATTAAAAAAGTGATGTTCCCAAAAAATTTAGGATCTAACGGTGACATGTTGAGAAGCATTACGAAGGTGTAGTAGTTCGCTCTTTGCATTTCTTCAGTGGCGATGCGAAGGTCTCGATCATCGGGAGGAAGGGTCGTTGGAGATGATGATTTAAAGAGTATTATTAGGAGAGCAACAATGGTGATCATTTTGGGTAACGAGACAAGTAAAATTTTCATGTAGATTTTTAGGTGGTGCTATAAAAGGAAGGTATAATTGTGGGAACATGCTTATGTGATGCCTTAACAAACTTACCACACACTTCTATCATGTAATTTAGTATTTTAAAAACTAAACCACCATATAATTATGGGAAAATTTTTATTTTTGAATTTAAAAATCTTAGTTTTAACATTTTAAATATATAAACTACCTTCAAAATCAATAAAGGCATGCCTATGGAAGGAAAAGCATATGACAAGAATTTGCTATATTTATGGAAGAAGGGGAGAATGCAAAGAGTGAGGGTTTCAACAATTAAAAAAAAAAAGAATTTAATAACAGAAATTTGGTACACCCAATTGAATACTATATGATACCATATCTAAATAGATAGTTTAACAGTGAAGATGAATTTAGTTACTATTATTATTATTCAAGTATATCGACTATTCGTTTAATAATTTAAACAAAGATTAATCTTTTTGAGTTTCATATGATTATATGAACAATAAAACTCTTTCATAAAATTATATTTTATAATTTTAAAATTGAAATTAAGTTATTTAAAACTTCACTTGGCCCTATGATAATAATAAATAAATAAAAACCCTCAAATTTCAATCTAAAATTTAAAATTTTGAACAATTTGGTTAATTGTTAACCTCAAAAATGGAATCTTATCGTTTGCCCCGCGCCATTTCCAGTTCCATATCACTTATTTCAGTTGAAAACAAAGAAGAGCAGCTCTGCTCCCTCTGAACTTAATAACGGAACCAGCCATGCTCGTTGCCACACCCCATTGCTTATCTTCTTCTAATTGTCTGCCTTTTTCCATTTCTCGAAAACTCAAGTTTTCCCTTTCGACAAAACCGCGATTCAGCACCTGGGTGAGTAGTCGAACTCGGTCCGGTCGACTCTGTACAGCCAGTCTTATTACCAGTCCTGACTCATTCGAAGTTGGTCGACTAATTGGCAGCTATGGTTTCATGAATGTTACTAGGTAATTCGATTTTCTCATCATTTATTGAACAGATCAGTCAGTTACCTGAATTGTGTTAGATACGTTTGCTAATGAACCTGCATGGATATGGTTTCGGAAGCTACTGTGACGGACTCGACAAAAATATATTAGAAATTTAAGGAGTTTGAAATTATAAAATACAAGGGATATGAAATTAGATCATAGAAAATACAAAAAAAATAGAAATTTCAAGGGGTGCTACCGTAACCCGCCACCTCGGTCCATCTCTGGGCATAGGAGTATGTAAGATTCAACTTGAATCTGCAACTGGAAAGCGTTATTCTTGATTTACTTTTTTTTTTTTTTTGAGACAAATTTTATTGAATGATGACATGGAAAAAAGTTTGAATTTTTATTTCCAGCTATTCAGGGTTCCAGGCAGGGGCAGATCTTGAATTTTCTTCAGGAGATTTGGGGCAATTAAGAGTTCAAGATGTTGGAGAAGGGAGTGTAAAAATCAGGTGCATTTCTATGGATATATGCATGTAGGGGTGAGAAAAATTGACTAGAAAAAATCGAATTTTTCGACTGGACGTTTAAAAACTCGATTTAACTTGACTTGATCCAATGCTCACCCCTACATGCATGTGGACACAAATAAGCTGAATATGTTTGCTACTGTTAATGAAACTTGCAGAATCTTTTCCATCTTCCTGCTGATGCTATTCGTGCCAGTCCATCTGCAGGTTATATGAAGGAAGAATAGCTCAGGGTCCATCCAAAGGCACACCAGTGATCTTTAAGGTGATATTATTTATATATTTTTTATTAATACTCATTTTTTCAGCCATAGTTTCCCATCTTAGGCTCTTAGGCTACACGGGTGTTAACCATTTCGTTATTTGTATTCTCTTTACTAAAACCTCTGGCTGTGAAGGTCTACCCTGGACAACGAGCCGCTGGTATCGAGGCCGATATGATGGCAGCCAATGAACTCAATGCACATGCTTTCCTCCAGGTAAAATGATGTGGAAGTGGAACAATAAGTTTCAATCACAGAAATAAAATTTTTGTTTCTTTTGGTAATTGAAAATTGAAGGAATGGTACTCTGATTTTATCTTTGATCATGCATCTATTTAACAGAGCAGTTCTGAAGGTATATGTAAGAATCTTCTATTACTTCTTGGTGGATTTGAGACAAAAACAGGGGAGCAGGTCTGTCATTTTATATAAACTATATGTGAGTTTTCGAGTTGCTTTTTTATTTTCAGTAACTTAAGAAATGAAGTAGCTTTTTCTGTACAGTGGCTAGCCTTCCGTGATGATGGTAAATATAGTGCAGCTGACTTTGCAAAAGCAACTAGTGAGAAAGTATTGAGAGTCCTTTCTCTACAAGAAAATTCTTGGAATCCTTTTGAGAAAGAGCAGGCGTTTAAACGCAGAACATACTTTGTCATTAGGCTATTTCAGGGTGCTATGAGAGGTTTAGCCTACATGCATAATCATGAAAGATTACACCAGAGTCTTGGACCGGCTTCTGTTATACTCAAGTATATTGGTTGACAATTTTCATTTGAAATATGGGTTTATCCGTCCTTAAAAGAGATTTAACCAACCTTTCATTGAATGATGGCAGTACAATAGTAGAAAGAGATGCTGCTTATCTGATTCCAAAGCTTCGAGATCTAGCCTTTTCTGTTGACATCAGGTATTGCGATGTTGATATTTGGCTTTACTTTGTTCCCTGGAATAAGTTGGTTGGTTCATTGTTGGCTAAAAAAGAGAACCGCTAACCAAGCTAAAACAATCCACTAAGGATATATTGTTTCCCTTTAGACTGCCGTTGCAAAGTATTGCCTGTACTTAATCATGGTATACAGAGCAAGATAATGATGGAATGGACTTAGTTTTTACAAGAATTTTGAATGTTTTAGATCCCTTTACATTTCTGAAGGGTGCAAATAATCACCAATCTTGTTGAGAATAAGGTTAATGATCCTGGATATGAGCATGTAATATATCATCTATTCAAAAGATATAGGAATACATCTCAATTCCCTTTTTGCTGGAGTATTCTCGTTAAAATGAGGGAAATGGACCGTTAAATATTGCTTGGAATTGCTCTTGTTTTTCAAAATAGTGCCTATTTATATCCAATGATATGCCATTTTGCTTTAGCTTTTCATCTTTGGAAGAAGGTCCTAGCACATTCTCAGAGGGTCTTTGGAGAAGGGCATCTTCTGCTGGTGCATTTACGCCTATGGAGAAAAGATCCTTTGGAATTGCAGATGACATGTAATGTTTTGATTTTCGGTGACACTTCCCTAGCCGTTTTTATACCAGAAATTAATTTTTCCCTCTAGACAGATATGAAGCAGGTCTTCTTTTTGCGTACTTGGCTTTTGTTCCATTTTGTGAAGCAGGCATTATGGATGGCCTTTCGTTGCAAGTAAGCAATTCCTTTTAATGTGTCTTTGTTCTTCCGGTTGTATATAATTATAAGCATGATCCAAAAAGAAAGAGCAATTTTCTGACCAAACTAATTTCGATTTCATGTAATGCCAGCGGCTTTTGGAAAGCACTTTCAAACTCGATGTCATGGCTACAAGAGAGTAAGCCTTTCGAAATTCCAAAACTACTGCTTGTACTGAGAGGCATATAGGTCCTTTTATTATCGATATGATCAAATCCAGTTCATAGGTCTATGAAGTGTTTAGCGTCTATCTGTAATTACTTACAGATATGAAAGCTGTCACATATGAAAGCTGAGAGGACTTGTTTTTTGTGTATAAACTGTAAATCTGGTCTCACTTCTCTAATTTATGAAGTAAAAGTTTCGAAGTTTTGCCTACATGTAGATTATTTTGGACAGCTTTGGAGGAATATAAAATGGTTCTCTCTCATTTACTCGACATATCTTGTGATGAACTGGAAACGTGTTCGAGTCTTATCCTTGTTTCAGCCATAGCACATTATTTGTTTTGTGAAACCATTTATTCCTCCATTGTATTTGTTTCAAGTTTCACTAGTTACTTCATTCTTTTCTTCTGGAGTTTTTGTGCAGGTATTGTTTGGCGGATGACCGGTTGTTAGAAGCTGTCAAATTTCTCGATTTGGGCGATGGTGCTGGTTGGGAACTACTTCAGGTTAGTTTCAATATGGGGATAGTAGATATGATGTGTATTTTAATTTTTAACCAGTAGCCAACGTTATCTATCATCTTTATTTGCAATTGGACTAACAGATTTTCATCTTCTTGCAGGCAATGCTGAATCCCGACTTTCGAAAACGTCCAATAGCAGAAGCAGTCGTTAATCATCAATTCCTGACTGCTAATGTTCTCTGACTTCCGATGATTTAAGGTACAGCATGCGTAAAAAAACGTCGCAGTCATCACATATTTCATTTGATGAGAACATTGTGTTCTGCATGCTTATGTATACATAGACTTATATGAAGATTTAGTATGTGTTCATGATTATCTAATTACCAAAGGTAAATGGCCCTAGGAATCTTTTGATTCGGGTTCGAAGTATTTTGCACGGAGAAGGTGTCCCTGAGGTAAAACTTAAAAGTACTCCGATCGAGTAGGAATTATGATAGATTGTAGGAAGAATCTTGAACCACCTTTCGATGTTCATAGGGTTGAAAAATATTATCTCGAAGTCCAGATCCATCTTCTTCAACTTTCACTGCATGGTACCTTTGTTCATTGATGCTTGTGCAACAGTAAAATGGTACGCTGTTAGTTCCAAGACTTGGAAATGCAGACACAGTAAAAAAATATGTAATCCGTCCCTCCGTCTTTTCCTGACGTAGAATTCATCTATTTGAAGTTACAATTTTGTTTATGGCATAAAACGGTTTAATTCCACATTTCATCCTTCTACTCTACAAAAATCGATAAGGTTTATTCCTCTCCTTTAACTCAGAATATGGATCATTAGTTCCACTGGCCATCATTATCGACTGAAGTCACAGACCAAAGAGAGCTAAGATGCTGAATTCAATTCTCATCCTAAAAATACATTCCATATCATATTTAAATTATTCGTGTAATATGTGCGCGATTGTTTTAAAATTTGATTCATGTATTTTAAATATGGTCCACGTCATATTTGGACAGACATTTAATGCTCAAGTAAATTGTTAGGTCGATGAAATGACATAAACAAAATTATATGGATAGTTTGAAGACTTAATTAGAATTCTTTGAAGTTTGAAGATCAATTATGTAAAAAATATTGAAAATATATAAATTGATAATAAAAAAGAATAGGAAAGGAAACGTTAAGAGGGAAAAAAAAGAATGCTGAATTTATTTATGTTATATATAAATTTCTGTGATTTAGCAATGTTAATTAAATAGCAATCAACATATTTGGCAAGGTAGGTAGAGTTGGTTGTTTTCCGAAGGTCAAATAGTATACCTACTAAATATCATCATATCCCTTCTCACACAAGGTTAACTTGTAATTAGGGATTTCTCCCTCAAGTTTGAAAGTAAAAAATTATTATTTTTAATTAATCAATAATATTTAATCTATTAATCGATTAATCCAAATCGAGTTTTGTAGAGACTCATTACAAGGGCAATTATTCCAATCCAATTTGCTTCATTCGTAAATGTCGGAATTTGAATCCCAGACATTGCTTAAGGAATCTATATGTCATTTGATTTAGTTATAATAAAAAATCGACAATTATTTTTTCAAGTAAACGGGCCTCGTCAAAAATCTCCTCGTAACTCAATCGAGCAGAAGCTCGACTAAAATAGCAGAAGGAAGAAAAGAGTACCCAAGATTCTAAAATCAATAATTATTATTTTCTGAATAATCTGGAGTGATTAAAATGTAGTGTCGGTTTAGAATCTTTCTTAGTCATTGATAACACACATCCTACAATTGCAATTGTTCAAACTCTTAATCTCTAAGGAGAATAATATTTCCTTTAACCATTGAACCATGATTATTTTTAATTTATCGTCGTTTATCCTTAATTAAAGACACACGATAATAAATTAAAATTAGTAATAAAAAATATTTATCATTAGTATATCAAATAATTATTTAAATATGTATATATATTTACATTTTCCTTCCATCCTAAGGTTAATAATTATTGAATTATTCTTATGTTTGAAATAATTTGTATTTAATACAATATTTTTTAAAATTGAAATAAGATAATCATGAATGCTGAATATCAATTAGTAAGTGGAAATAATCTTACCTAATGAGTACCAAATAGTCTCGACTTTATTTATCATGAGGAAGATGTAGCTATCTAATAGCTTAGCAGCAATGCCTTTATAATTTAATTTTTTATTTCTCACTTTTTTAAGAATAACTTAGTATATTTTAAAAAATAAAATTGCTAATAAAATTTTGGAGAAGTAGTTTTTCAATTCAATAATTATTTTTAATTAAATTTACTATTAATTCTTAAAAAGAACTAAATATCTTTTTGTGGAAAAATAAATATCCTTAGTTATATTATACATTTACAATTAACTAATTATAATTATTAATATAATTAAACAAATTAATGTCATTGACTCATAAACACCATCCGAAGCACTTTTTCAAGCCCTTTCCTAATTAGAGGGAAAATAGGTTACTTTCTTTCGTAATCAATTTCGTGTCCAAAATTATTCACAATTAACTTATTTTATATTATCTTATTCTTAATTAACAATTATTCAATAATATTATGGTCCCTTTTTTTTCATTGTACACAATACAATTACAATAAAATATAACATTTACTCATTATATAAGAATAATTTATTTTTATTTACAAATAACACAGTATAACATTTACACAATATATAAGAATAATTTATTTTTATTTACACAATGGACTATATCCTATGTTTCTATGTTCATCCCATTTGAATCGAATGAAATACCATTTTTTTATAAGGGGAAGAGATATCGAACTGGAAACTTGATTAAATACTTAAATAATAGTAGGTTATCGATAATTTAAATATATATCCGATACGAAAGCTTCACTTAACTAAGAGATGGACCATGACTGTGATGATGCCTGGCTGCAATTCAAGAAGAAAGAATGGATCATAAGAGAGTAAATGAACAGAATTAAGCAATTTGCATTTAGTACTTACTCTATAATATCCCTCCAGTAATGGTCACTTGATACATCATCCATTAAATCTCCCCAAACTTCAAAGTTAGTTGAAGGGGATGAAGGGTTAGAGATCTTGTTCGGGTTAATCTTGTTTTCGACGACGGTGGGTCGATGTTGCGGCGAGGCCGAAATCAATGCCGGGAGCTGATGAGGATCAGGAGGAGTACTCGAAGTTGGAACATTGACAGCAAATGATGAGTCTTTCATTGGCTGCTGCTGATATTCTCTCAACTTTGGTTGATATTGTTGTTGACAAGCCTCCAAGTTGATCAAATTCGACTGCAATTTCGTAACTTCAATCGGGGCAAAGCTGCCGAATGGAAGATTACCGGTATTCGCTCCGGGCTGTGGATTTTCTGGGAAAGTTGGTCCGGATATAAGGTTCATCGCTTCGATCGTCGAAGGGTTGCCGAGGATTTGAACCATGTTATGCAACAAATGGAGCTTGGTCAGCATTGCGGCATCCCATTGTAGCCTGAGAGCATTGATATCCAAAGGATGATTGTTCATCATGTTTTTGAAGTTGGCAGCATCAAGCAACTGCGGCAGGCTAGCTAGAACGTCGAAATGATTGGTCCTCGGCTCATGAGTCACCGGATCGATCCCCATTTGAAGTAGCTTCTTCCTCAAATGCGTGTTCCAAAAGTTTTTAATCTCGTTATCCGTTCTTCCGGGTAGATGACTCGCTATCGCAGACCACCTGCAGCAGGTTAAGTTCATAATCATTTATCATAATCGTAAATTTAGTACTGACGAGTACAAAATAACAAAATAAATAAGTAGAAGACGTTACTTATTGCCAAGAACCGCGTGAAGATTGATGATGGTTTGCTCTTCCTCATCGGAGAACTTGCCTCTCTTGATATCAGGCCGGAGATAATTAGTCCATCGAAGCCTGCAACTTTTGCCACACCGGTTCAATCCGGCTAAGCTCGGAAGTGCTCTCCAACTTCCGTGCCCGTGTTTCCGAATGTAATCGACGAGAATCTGGTCTTCCTCGGGCGTCCATGGCCCTTTCTTAAGGCCATTATCTTCACTTCCAGGCGATCTCCCCATCATCTCTGCAAAATGGGAAAAGAGTGTGATGATGGGAGATTAGTTAGTCCTTGGAAAATGTGAGAAAACTGGGACTTGTTTATATAGTGTTTCGAATGTGGATTGATGTTTAGGAAATTCAAGACAAAATTGGAAAAGGGTTAGGGTATAAAAGAAGCATTTGTCTTATAACAAGATGTCATCTTTGACATGCAATTTTGATAGTATTTTACAAAAGGAAATTACTCCTTTAGCCTTGTAGAATTGCACTACCACAAAACTGTTCTACAACAACGTTTCGATAGTAAACGCCACTAACTTTATACATATAGCGACATTTCCCTTCCAAAAGTCACAAAATGGTAACTTTAGCGGCGTTTTTATACAAATGCTGCAATAAGATTAATTTATAGTGGCGTTATTTTAACAAACTTCGCAACATAGTAGTATTTTAGCGGCGCTGTTATACAAATGCCGCAATAGGTTTCATAAATAGTGGCATTTTTTACAAACGCCGCACCATAGTAGTACTTTAGTGGTTTTTTATATAAATGCCACAATAGGGTACGTATATAGTGGCTTTTTTCAACAAACGCCGCTATATGACTAAAATTTAGCGGTGTTTTTATTAAAACATCACAATAAAGTAGTATTTTATCGGCGTTTTTATACAAACGCCACATGAGTAATTTTTTTTTTCATATCAGATGACCAAAATATGATAGACTTAAAATAAAAATGACATTTGGTGTATAGCGGCATTTTTTGATCATACATTGCAAAAGACCCCTACGTTAGTGGCGTTTTTATAAAAATGGCGTAATAGTCTTGTACTTTAGTGGTGTTTGTATAATAAATACCGCAATAATCATGTAATTTAGTGGCTTTTTTGTAATAAAAGCCGCAATAGTCATGTACCTTAGTGGCGTTTTTATTATAAACATCGTGATTGTCCAATCCGTTAACCCATCGGGTTCCAAAATTTGGAAACACCCAAATCATTATATGAAATAACATCTACTCTTTCTCACCAGCAAGGTTTCAAGCCGACAACACTCATCTTCTTAGGTAATCAAATCTTCCCCTTTTTTTAAATTTCCAAATTTATGCTTCCTTGTTTCATCCCTTTCAAAGCTTTTGGTGGCATTTTTTTCGCCACAAGGGCTTTTAGCAACGGTTAAAAATGCTGCCACATGACTAAAAAACGTCGCTAAAAACTTGTTTTGTTGTAGTATTCTCAGTAGATGAAGTTAGGGATTGGCATGAATTTTGATTAAGGATGGTTATTAATTCGAATTTGATGAATTTCAATTTGATTTGATTTTATATGGTTGAGTTCATTCGAAATAACAAATTAGATTCGAGTCTGATTGAATGAGTGTCAGATTTAGATCGATGTCGAATTTAAGACAAATATCTGACCTAATCCTATATATATATATACACTATTTAGGTCAATTTCTTATCCTTCATTTTTGTTGTCGTTTCATATACTTTTTTTTCACTTTTTTCTGTGTTTCTTTGTTCTGGAGAGATTTTTTAGTTCCTCAATCTTCATCATCACTTACAACGGTCGACTTCCTCCGTAATTTTTGTAGTAACTTTATGTGGATATTGTGAGATTATTTTAAAAATATAATATTAATTAAAATATTGCATATGTTATTTATGAATTAAATTTTTTTCTTTTAGGTTTTTATTTTTTGATATTATTTTTAACATTTACATGTTTATTTTATTTTTTATTCGACGGTTTATTTTTTATGATTTAGTTTTTAATTTTTTTTATTTTTAAGTTTACTTTGATTGATTTTTTTCTCATGATTTTTAAACTGAAGAATTGATGAGAAAATATAAGAGTTTGAAATTGATTCGGATGAGATAGAGTCAGAATTAAATTTTTACCCCAAACTATAAATCTGATGTCGGAATTGAATGTAACATTTTAGAATCACAGATAAATCAAGCGGCAGATGAAAAATAACATTTCTCAAACCGAAATCGAATAAATTAAAAAATCGACCCTACTCATGATATGATTCCTAAATTATGACCCCTCCTAAAAATAAAATGTATGAGCAAACACATTTGGTTGGTTGGTCAAGTGATTCATCTTTATTCTCTCATGTTCCCTTTTTTTCATGAGTTCTAGACTTACTAGAAACACTCTCATTCTTTCTCTTGAAGTCCTCATTCTCCTCCTCTAAATAAGAGAATAATTAATTGAGTGAATAATAAAAAAAAAAGATAATAATTAAGTGGTCAATTGTATAGTTTACGAAATAAAATAAAATTCATATTCGAAGCTACATTATAAAAGGGCAGTTGGGGAATTTATAAATAGCAATAACGATACGTACCCAAATTCAACTGGGATGAGTTTCCCTTGTTAGGCAAGGCAGAGACTATTTGCCACCTCTCTTGCTTATTTATCTAGTAACTTTACACGTCAGCAACTAAATTACAACAACATCAAGACTATGTTTCGCACGTGTCATTCAACCAATGCTTCATTCCCACAAATGATCTCTTTTGCTTCACTTGAGACGAAACCTCCCTCACAAAATATACATGTTAATATAACGTTTAATTATTAACTTTATATTATTTTATTTACTATTTATAACTAAGCACCAAATTGCACGCAAATGGCAGAAACTAAGATTTTCTGCCCCCACCAAACCTTAACGACTCATTTTAACGGTGATTTTCCCGGTATATCACCGGTGACCGGTGATATTATCGATCTAACATCGGTCAGATTATATTTTTCGATCTAACATCCTTAGCAGTAAAGCGCACGCTCTGCACTGCGCTATACGATGATTTGACGTCACGTGGGGTATAGCGCCCACTGCACCGCGCTATACGGTGAACTGGCGCCACGTGAGTATGACGCGGCCCCTGTAGCGCGCTATACGCCGCGACATACCTTTACTCCTGACATAATTTTATATAGCGGGGGACAGGTACAGCGTTTTGTATAACTTTCCTCGCTATAAATACCATTCTCCGCCGGTTAATTTCTCACATCTCTCCTCTCAACTTATAAATTAATACAACAATTCCGTCAATGAGTCAATAATTCTGGCAATCTTCTCATATTTTATTTAGAAGTTCGTGCGATTTTTCGTTATAAGGTAATTTTGTTATAATTTTTTATTATATTTATTGTTTATTATGATTATTTGAAAAAAATATTATACTAATTATTTTCAATTAATTTTTGTGTTTGTAAAATTGGAAAGCGGGAGCATACGTCGAAATAGTTTTGCGGTGCAGGTAATAATATTAAATTATATTATTTAATTTATTCGTTCATATATAATTTATTAAATCAGGTTTGTTTCATTTATTTTTTTTTTGCAGATATAATAGTGCCGCACTTTTAAACTCAAATAATGGCGCGACTTTCAGCTATTGTTTATTATGATGGTGAAATTCGAGAAGATGAAACCGGCGTTGTTTTCGTATCAAATGAGCGTGTTAAAATATCATTCAAGAGAAACATAACTCTTGAGGAGCTGATAACGAAGATTTCGAGGAAGATCCATGTTGGAAGTAGTAGAAGACTGTCGTCGTTGCAGTATAGATTTCCAACATCATTGTTGTCATTAAGAGTAAATCTAAGGGACAGAACGTGCAACTGCGGGTTTTTTCAAGCTCTGAAGTATCCATGCTCTCATGTGATAGCAGCTTGCTCGCATACACGTCAAGACTATAACCATTTTGTGGATCCCGTATACCTACTATCTGAAGTTTTTAAGGTATACGAATTTGAGTTTCCCCCCATAGGTAATGAAGAAGACCCTGATGAGGTTCAAGATTGGCTTCCGATTGTACCAAATCCGAGTTTATTGAGGGAGCGTGGTCGTCCAAAATCCAATCGAATTCATTGCGATATAGATATTAGAGAAAGATCTAGACAAGACAAAAGATGTGGGCATTGTAGAAACCCATGACACACTAGAAAAACATGTCAACTTCTGTTGTCATCAAGTAACAATTGATGAGGAAATGATGTATTTTATTATCAAATAATAATTCTTCTACTTTAATTTGCATTTACTTCAAGTTAATATCATTTGATAATCACCGATGAAGATTAAAAAAACAAACACAATCATTAAATTTTAACAAACTAATAACAATAAGTATTAAATGGTAAATGATAACCAAATTACAATAACTGATATTAAATGGTAATAAAAAAATGAACTGAAATACATTAAAAAAGTCCAACAAATTTAACAAAATAAAGTAAGTATTAAATGAGAAATAAAAAAAATTACAATTTAACAAAATAAAGTAAATACAAATATAATACAAAACAAAACTATCGATGCATGCGACACGAATGTGTTCCGCAGGGCGGTGGCTGTCGGTCTCGAGGAGGATTTCTTCGTATCACTGGTTCTGACTCCTCGTTGTCATCATCATCACCAACGTCATTGTTGTCATCGTCGTTGTCGTCTTGCGCAGGTACATGAGGAGCTGATGACGATGAAGCACCTCCGTAGAATAAGGACCCTGGAGGTGTATGACTGACTATCCCACCGGCCTGCGAAAACTGGGAAAACTCATAAAACCCAGACATCGCTGAGTGTGAAAACTGTACAGGAGGCGGTGTCTGTGCTGCGGCCATGGGTGATGAGGCTGAACCCGCCAAATATCCAGTATATGAACCCCATGTCGGATCTGCAAACATAGACCCATAATAGCCTCCAGGAGGGGTCATCTGTGACGGTGGCGGGGTCATAAAACCAGGTGAAGGCGGCGGCGGCGGCATCTGGTAATGGAAAGGTGATGACGGCATCATATATGGCTGCGGCATCATATATGGCTGCGGTGGCTGCTGGGAAGGTCCTGCTTGTGCAGCTGAGGATGAATCGGAAGTACCTGCTCTCCGTCCACGAGTCGGGGGACGATGGTGCTGTGTCGGTGAACGTCTCTGTCGACGTCGTGGAAATGTCTGCCCTCGTGCATCCTCGGGAAGTAGAAACGGTTTCCCGTTACTGTTGAGCCACTCATAATAATCCTCAGCATACATCAAGAA